CTGAACTAAAGGCCAAGCGTACTCAATATCTTCGAGCCGTAGCTGAGAAAGAGTCTTTGCGCATGGAGATCAACAAGGCTAAGGACGAGTTGAAAGAAATCTCTTCCGAAGTCATGATTGAAGACTCTTTGATGGTTAACTTGGCTGCTCAGATGAGAGAATTTCAAGCTAAAATGGACGATTGCAGGGCGAGGATGGCTGCTAAAAAGCGCAACGCCTCCCAGGGAATTGATCGAACTAAGTCCTTGGTCGAGCAGTACAAGAAATTGGAAGTTGATGATGATGACATCGCAACTGAATTAAACATCACTTCCTCTCGACAGAACGAGGATTGGGAAAAACTTAGGGAACAGATTCGTTCCTTATGGGGTAGACTGTAATTAAGACATACGATGTCTTTTTTCTTTTGTAATTCGATTTTTCTCTTTGTAACTTTGTTCATTATTAATGAACATTAATTTCTTGTGCATTTATTTGACATTTATTTTTTTTAGTCATCAATTCTTTAAGCACTTAACTGCTTTGCACTAAGAATCTTGTCCATTCCCTTTTGATATTCCCACTACTGTTCCCAAAACTTAGGGCTATTTAATTCCGTTTATTAGACAGAAATGTGGATGTTCATATTCTGTCTCTTCACCTTCATCCCCCTATAAATGCTCCGCATTTTTCATCCTCTATCTTCATCTCTTCATTTTCTTCTCCGAAATCAATTTACTGCCATTTCTTGGCATTCTGACGATCAACCTGATTCAAAAATGGATTGTTTAGTCCGTCCATCTTATATTTACCTTGATGTCACCTTTGGTATGGGAGGTATAGGAAATATTTTCTGGCCAGCAGCGAAGTTCTTTCCTGCAAAATTCTTCCCATCGTCTCTTTGTTCTTCACAAGGAGTCAATGATGGGAGGCAATTTTTAGGCTGCTTGTGGGCCACTTTGCTTGCTGAGAGTGCTTCTCAGCTTGCCTGCTGAGAGTGTTTCTCAGCCTCTCTGCTCGCCATTGCAGCGATGCATTTAGGAAGGTGGTGAGGCCAGTACACCCTCTCACTCGGCAATTCCACCATTGCACGATGCATTTAGGAAGGCGGTGGGGCCAGTACACCCTCTTACTCGTCAATTCTACCATTGCAGCGATGCGTTTAGGAAGGCGGTGTGAAGCTTATTCAGCGATCAACCGGGAGATCATCTTCTTTTAGTTGTATTTTGTAGCACGTCCATCATTTGTGTCTTCTGTATTCTTGTAATGAACGTTTGATAATAAAGAACTTTATTCGAA